AAACACAGAAAGACTGATATCATGTAAATCGGTAAGGACTATGAAAGACAACAGAGTGTGTCAGCACATGCACAGACACGGCGTATTTGTGTGATGAAAGGATGAGAGTAAGGTAGGCCCAACACACCTATTTTAAGTGATTTTTCACAAAAGTACTAGAGTTCTCCAAAGAAGTAAAAATTAATGCATACTGTGGAATATTTTCATCAATAAAGTCCACATGGATTTCCAAAAGACATTTGATAAGTCTGTCATTCATAAGTCTTAAAAAACCTAAACTCCCAGAGGATAAAAATAAATGTCCTTGCAAGGATAAATAATTAGAAACAGATGGTAGAAGAATACTGTCAATTTTCCAAGCAGAGAGAGGTCAATGGTGGAGTCCTGCAGGGATCTGTGCTGGAACTTGGTAGCTGCTCGCTTATTTATAAATGAGCTGGAAAACAGGGTAAATGGTGAGGTGACAAAGTTTGCTGCTGATATTCATTCAGGGTAGCTAAGATAAGGGCTGACTATGAAGAAAGACTTTATAATACTGAGTGACTAGGCAATAAAAAGGCAAATTAAAGTCAATGTAGATAAACCAACACGAAGTAGATTCCTTCAGGAGAAAAAACCTAACTACACAAAATGATGTGCTCCAAGGAGACTATTACCACTTCAGGACTGAGATCTTGGGGTTATAACAGGGTAGTTCTGTGAAAACATCAGCCCACTGTTCACTAACTGAAAAAGTGAGTATATAGAAATTGCTAGGAAAGAAACAAAGAATGAAGGAGATATTATTAAGTCGCTGTATAAGTGGCTGGTTTGTCTGTCTTGACTATTGTGTGTAGTTCTCGTCCCGCCACCTCCAGAAGGATACAGTAGACTGGAAATGGCTGCGGGAAGGGCAGCAGGGAGGATCGCGGGTAAAGTACAACCTAACAACTAAGGAAAGACTAAGAAGCCAAGGATTCATCAGGTCGCAAAACCAGGTAACTAAGGGGGTACAGCAAAGGTGTAATCAGGACCAGCACAAGGAACGTGTCTGGGAGTCCCCTGGTCACAGCCTCTTCCAATACATGAGCTGGGGGGATCAAATGAAATGGGCAGGTACAAGGTTTAAAACATAAATAATTCTACTGAATCTTCACACAACACATTAAGCGGTGAAACTCCTTGCTCTAGTTGACATAGGTTCACTAAGTAACCGAAGTCACAAAAAGGAAATTCCAGCAAGAGCTTTTAAATGCCAAGGCTTATCTCAAGAAATCCCTAAACACAAGCGCTGGAGGACAGAGAGTACTGAGGGCAAAATGAGCCTCAGCTGCTCTGATGCTTCTGTGGACTCATGTTACAGACCACTGTCAGAGATCACTGGACTGGACTGGCCTGTGGTTTGCCAAAGTACAGAGGTTTTATGTTGTTTTGTTCAACTGTGCTCTTATTGTGGGCATGGGGTTAGGCATCTCCTGAAAAACACAGATGTTGGTTTCATCATACTTGTCCATGGGACACTTCTATGCCTTTCTTTTGCTTTCTCCACTTTTCTCCTTCCTGTAACTTGCAACATCCTAGTAAAGAAAAAAAGTAATCACAAATGTCTAATAATGGAAAAAATCACAATGACAGAACTGTTCAATTTATTTAACTTATGAAGGAATAAATCTCAAGAAATATCTTTATTTGTGAGGTTTCTTGCAAACTTGAGATGTAGGGTAGTAAAGAGCAGCAATACCTCATTTCTAATGCTTTCACTAAGTGTTTGTGTTCATGCAGCTGCTCAAATTTGATAAGTATACATGCAAGTGTTTGTACATATAAATTTGAAATTGCAGAAGGGGAGGCTAGGGGATGGAGGACAAGGCTGCCAACACTGGCTCTCAAGATATCAAGTGTACCCTGACAGCATTATGCACATAGAACAAAAAAAGCAGTCTAAGCCATGGCAAAATCATAAGGAGTCTAATGTATGTTGTCCTCACATACACAAAGGAAATAGCTTTTTTCCTAGGATTTTTCTGCTTAATCATGTCATAGACATAATTAGATAGCAACAAGGATGGAAAATGCATGTGTCCAGGATATTATCTTTTCCTTATTTAAAAAACACCTCTTCAAAACAAGAGCTATATCATGCTGACAATTTAAAATGACTCATGCAGGACAGAATGTGATCAAATCTTTTGAAAAAAAAAATTGTTCCCAAGCTTTTGTTTGTAATCCTAAATCAAGCATGATCCCACATCGAAAAACTGCTTCTAAGGAGAAGTACACCAATTTTAAGTATTATTAATGATCTAACTGAATGCCAACATTACTAAGGTACATAATAGCAAGCAAAATCAAAGCTATACTCACAGGCTCGTTTATTTTACTACTTCAGGTTCAATTTTGTTCCTGTACTACACAGAACTATATGCATGTATAGATGACATTACTGTATTGTTATTTGTGAGAAAAGCATCGTAAGCTTATTATTGCCTATTACATATACTCTCAAAACAGTAAAATAATAACAGAAGTGGGTCATATAGCTCAGAGAAAACCTATCAAAACTCATTATAACTCTTGTCCTGCACATTTTATTCTAAGTTTTCATTCTGTCCCACCACCACAGCCTTCTTCTTCAAAGGATGCAACCCAAACCACTATGGATTTTCTGGTAGTTTTCCTCCTCTTTAACTTTTTGGAGGTAATACAGAAATGAACAGTCAGGTAAATGCCGAATTAAGGTAAAACATTCAGCAAACAACAAAGCCAGGCTCTTTCAACACCCAACATTGTTCGAGTTCTAGGGCATTCATGTACAAACAGGGAAAGATGGCCAATAACCACTTGGCTATACATGTATTCCCCTATTATTTTAATTTTGAGGGTAAGCAGTCTCAAAAGGGATTCTGCTGCTGACTTAAAACTCCTTTTGTTGACTTTTAATGCCAACAGTGCATCTACCAGCTTTGGAGATGACAAAAATTCTGTGTTATTTTGCCTGAAAACATACCTTCAGTGTCACACCTGCACACGTGCAGCATGGTTATAGACTGCTTGGCCTCCTGTAGATCAGCTGCATGCAGCGGTTTCTAAACATTATTATTCACCTGTGCAGCAACACAATAAAGGACTCAGATTCATTTTTATCTACCTTGCACTAGCTTCAGTCAGCATGAAGCAGTGGAGCCATATAAATAAAACACCATTATCCCTGATGTTGAAAAGTGTAAGGGATTTGGAAATTGTGCTGTCCTACTGCATACTGGACATGAACAAAACAGGCTGAGGATGCACCAAACCAGTGAATATTCACACCACCTTTTACCAGCAGAGTCATAAGGAGAGGAGACAGCTGAAAGCTAAAAGTCCTTAACGGAGCAGAGGAGACATCAGTGGTGCAAAGATGAAACAGTTTGCTCTGCCTGGAGCCAAGTGACATGACTGCGTACAATTAGTAAGACCATACCAGAATGCGTGTTACTGAATAGACAAAGTAGCCGGCAGCACCAAAGAGGATTTCCAATGCAAAGATAATGAACCCAAACCTAGTGTCACTGGAATCGGGGAAAAATCTACCAACCTCAAGTGACTGCAGATCAATCCCCAAGAAAGAAACCATATGGAAACTTAAGTGACAGAAACAGCATAAAAATATACATAACACGAATAAAAACAGCATCACGGAGAGAAATGGTTAAAGCTGTTTCATATAAACCAGAAATTTCCACTAAGCCTCATGGACTAGGTAGCACGTTGAATAACGCTGAAGCTGCTCAGCGAACAACTCAGAAGAATTATTACTCGGAAACTGAAATGAATGTAGGTCAATTAAGGGGACTGAAAAAGTGATTGTGAGCCCATTTTGGAGACATTTTGCTCTGTTTCCCTAACAGCTTATTCATGCAAAGCCAGAACTTCTCATTTTCAGGGTTTTATCAGGGAGACAAGCAGAAAGTATGCTTTGATTTTAGATTATTTTTTTTCCAAATTATGGAAGAACTGATCTTTTCTATCTCACTAAAACTAATTTTATTACTATCTCAACTCTACAGACCATTCTGTTCTCCTCTGCCTCCCAGCTGCACACAAATCACCAGTTCTCTACTAACTCAGAGGGAAAGCTGTGTTAGAAATGCAAAAAGGGATGTCCTGGTGTTCTCCCTCTTTCTTATCATGCGGTTTCCCCAGGGAGACACTGGATGTGATGGGGAAAGTCAAATGAAGTCAGGAGACCTTCTGAGTCAAAACTAACAACTGAAATGATTTCTTTTTTTTTTTCTTTACACTCCTAAAACACAGAATAAAATAAACCTTGTGAACAGAGGGCACAGACCTCAACCAAAACTCCCGCATGTAACATGCAATGACCTCAGCTGCCCTTCCAGTTGGCCAGCAAACCCACCGCCATCCCCTCCCGCTGAACCAAAGCGGGCTCTGCCCTGACCAGGTGGAAACCCGGGCTCAGGACTAACCTTCAACAGGCTGGCAGTTGCCTTCGCCCACTGTCGCCCGCTCGAAGCGTCCCTACGGCCCCCACTGCCATTTTCTCCTGACCTTTAGCAACAGACCAAGCGCCGGAGGATAGCCTGGGGCTGCCGCTGCCCGCCAGCCCTCCCCGGTGCAGTTCGATGCTCACCGGGGCGGCTCACAGGCCGAAACCGGGCAATTTCTCCGGGCACCTCTGCTCCGCGGGGGGTGCGAGGGGCTGAAGGGCTGAGCCTGACCTCGGCCCACGCCCGCTCCCCACGCGGGGCAGTGGGGAGGCCCGGGGCAGGCACCGGCACCGCTCTGCAACGCTGTTGATGCGTCCCGGCCCCCCTGTCCTCCCCACCTCCTGCCCCGGCGGGGGCACCCCGGGCCCGCTCCGGCCGCCCCTCGGCCGCCCCCGCTGTCCCCGCCCGGCCCGGGCGGCCGCCGGCGCCGCAAGTTTCTCCAGAGCCGCCCGCGCCCCCCGCCCCCCCCGCCGGGGCCGGGCCGGGCGGTGCGGAGCCCCCCCGGGGCCGGGGCCGTTGCCCCCCACTCACCCGAGGTCAGCTGCATCCAGGCACAGATCTTGTAGACGGTGGCTGTGTTGCAGAAGAAGAATAGGATGAAGCAGACGATGCAGGCGATGATGAGCATCATCGAGAGCCCGATGAAGAAGGAAGCAGCTTTGAAGGCTCCCGAGGGCAGGCTGGAGAAGTCCGTGAAGCTGCCCCGGCAGGTGAGTTCCCGGCTGAAGCCGTTGCCGATGCAGTAGTGGAAGAGCCCGAAGTAGCCCGCCTGTGGGGTGTCCACGCCGTCCCCGATCCAGTAGGGCTGGATGAAGCACACCACGTTGACGATGGCAAAGCAGATGGTGAAGATGGCCCAGAGCACGCCGATGGCCCGCGAGTTCCGCACGTAGTTGGTGTGGTAGATCTTGGCCGCCTCCTGAGCCGGGAGCATCCCCGCTGCTGCCGCTCCTGACGAGCCTGCTCCTGTCGCCGCCGTCCCTGCAGCCGCTCCGGGCATCCTCGCCGAGAAGATCCCCCCTCCCCTTCCTCCTCCTCCTCCTCCTCCTCCTCCTCCTCCTCCTCCTTTCTTCTCCTCCTCCTCCTCCTCCCCGCTCGCTCCGCTCGACGCGACGCGCTCCGCCGCCGCCGCTGCGTGCGAGAGCCGGCGAGCCCCTCCGCCGGGCTTCAGCGGCTCCGCGCCAGCAGCAGCAGCAGCAGCGGCAGCGGCGGCCGCGGCGGCAGCACCAACATGGCCCGCCGCCGCCTATCGCAGCGCAGCGCTGCCGGCCGCCGCACACCGCCCGCCCCGCAGCCCGCCCTCCTGCCGCCGCCCGCGGCTCCTCGCCGCGCCGGGCGCCAGCCGCCACAGCGCCCGCCGCGGGGCCGGAGGCGCCCCGCCGCCCTGCGCCACCGCCGCCGGCGGGGCGGGACGGGGCACGGCCGGGGAGGCGGCGGGCGGGCCGCGGGCGCCCTGTCGCCGGGCGGAAGCGCGGGAAGGGCGAGCCCCGCGGGCGGCGGGAGCGCTGCGGCGGGGCCTCCCCTCAGCCCGGCGGCCGGGGCCGCTCCTCAGCCCGGCGGGCTCCCGCGGCGCCTCTGCCGGTCAGGGCCGCGGCTGCCTGGCCGAGCTGCTGCCGGCTCTGCTCAGGCTGCGTGTCCTGGGAGACGTGTTCGGGCAAAATGTTAAACTTTAAAACCTGTGTGTGTGTGTTTTTCCCGTTCCCTCACAAAACATCAGCCCGTCTTCGGCCGACGGCTGTAACTGCCGAATCGCCGGCGGTGTGGTGAGCAGCGGCCTCCTGCCCCGGCGCAGGTGGAGCCTGGAGATGCTTGTCTCCTGCTTGAAGCGAACCTCCGGTGGGGCAGAGTCTTGAGCCGGTGGAATGCAGAAACCATCCTGAGCTGCTGCTCACCTCGGGAGGTGGGCTGGCAGACATGGAGAAGACCACTGCCGTGAGCGCAGAGCCGCCGTGGGGCCATGGTGGCGGCTCTCGGCGTGGGTGGTGAGGTGGCACCCGTGGAGAAGAGCAGCTCTGCTCCTGTCAAGTGTCTTTGGCCTGGCGCTCAGTGCATTGAGGGTGTTGGCATGCAGCAGTGATTAGCATATATTAATGAGCAATTAGCGCCTGGTGATAATCATTCCTACGACAGTGACACTTGGATTTGCAGTCCCGGACCTATGCGTTGAGCCTGAGTTAACAGCAGTAATCGATGGCACACGTATTCGGCGCTCTGAGGGTTGTCCTCTCCGGAGCGGAGAGAGGCTGGGGAGGGCGAGCGGCTGCGCCAGCCATGGCAGGCTGCCGCTCGGTGCCGGCAGAGGGCCGCACGCAATTAAGTATTAGTGCTCATCAGCGCCCGGGAGGAGGGAGAGACTCCTGTGGAAATTACTTCTGGCATTCCTTAAAAATTTTTCACCCGTTTCAGACAAAGTTAGGTTTCTGCCCCCTGACTGCCAAAAATCAGGCAAAGCCTGGTGGAGCGAGCATGTCTGCCCTCCCCAAGTTTGCCTGCAGAGGGGCTGGGAGGGAGCGGAACCTGCTAACAGATTTTCAGGCCCCCGTGCTCACATCGGGGACAGAGTCAGAGCTTCGAGGGCCGTTGCCAAAGGGTGGGAGCACCAGGGGCGGCCACCTCAGTGCAGTCACACTGTTACTGGCCTGCGTGTGGGAGCACTCCCCCCTCGGAGGGCAGAGGGGTGGCACATGTGGCATGGGCTTGCTCAGACACAGGCAGCGTGGGTGGTGTGGACCCCAAATATGCTTGCCTCACTTGCTTAGGGGGGTGGGTCCGAGTGTGCAAACTACAGCTAAAATTCCTCAAGATTCAGTTCCCACCGAGTGTGCTTTGCCCAGCGCTGAGGGAGGTGCCCGCGTATGCTCCCCTGCCTCTTCCTGCTCCTACTGCAGTTGCTGCACATGACCAGACTGCACATATGCTGCCTCCAGAGAGCAACTGAATTTGTTCCAGCCTCAAGCAGCAGGAGGAGTGATGGTTCTTCCCTTCAGTGCTCTGTCCTGTTTCTTCCAGGCTGAGGCTAGCTGGGCCCCAGGGCTTGGTGCAGGACCACTGTCTTCCCTGTCCTCCGAGGGACCATCAGGTATGGAGGTGAAGACAATACAAGCCAGACCTAGAAGGCAAGAGGAGGCCTGAAGCAGTCTGAGACAATTTAGGGATGGAGGTTGGAGTGAGGATTGGGCAAGAAGTTCTGAGAGATCAAAAAGAAAAGAGGTAGTGAGGAAGGGGTCTGGGCCAAATGGGAAGTTTAGGGATAGCAGGTCTGTGAATGTGCACACAAGGAAGATGAAACCTGGGATTGGTATGGCAGGAGGAAGAGATGCAGACCTAGGAAGGAGCTAGGAGAGGCGGAATGAGGTGCTCTGCAGAAGAAACAGGCCAAGGGAGCTGAGGAGGCCAAAATACTGAGGTTGGAGGAGAATCTGGGGAAAGAGAGTCAAACTGGGGGTAGGGAAATGTGGGATTCAGTCTGGGCAAGAAAGAGAAAAGCCAGAAGTAGGGGAAGAAACTAGGATTCTGCTGACAAGCTGAGTAAAAGAGTGTGGGAAAGAAGACATGGTTGCCTGTGTCCTGGCAGCGCCTGGTTTGGTTGTCCTAGGATGTCCTCTCTGGCCTCTGGTGCCAAAAGGGATTTCACATGGACTCTAAGTGATACCAGCTCGTCTTTCAGTTTAGTGGATTGAAAATGGGAAAGTGGCATTAGAGGTCTGTTTTTTGGGGCACCTGAATCACTCCGGTTATGTCCTCTAGACCCCTGAATCTTCTAGTCTCACTCTTTGGTACCACAGATTTCTTCAGGATACCCAAGGTCAGGCTCAGGAGGCATTTTTATGGTTCTTACCACAATTATATGTGTGCTTCGTAGTATTATACATATCATGTCTCTATGAGATAGAAGGTTGGAATATTCTGGGCAGAACAGTTAAAAGGCAACTGGGACCTCATTTCTCAAAGCTGAGCTCCCATGGATTCCAGTTGCAGCAGTTCTGCAAATGAGGCTTCAGAAGGAGCTGCGCTGACTTGCTGCTCATCTATAAAGAGTGTTAAGCATCTTGCCTGGCATCGCAGAAGAATTCTGTGGCAGAAGCAGAGATAGTCTCCAGCTCTTCAAGACAGATTTCATCATCTTAATCCACAGAAGATTATCCCCTCTCTCCAACAACCCTGTTGTACTGCCACTATTTTTCTCCCTGGGCATGAACTGGGTCCCAGCCCTGTGGCTGACATCTAGTCTCATCTAAAAAAGTCCGAGTCTTAAGCCAGGATTTTCACCAAAAGCTTCTTCAACAGGTGAAACAGGATGCTCATCATCCTGATCTTTCTGGACAGCAGATGCTGTCTCACACACCTGATAAGGCAGGATCCTGTTTACCAATTAGTATGTGAGCATGCAGGACAGAACAAAGGGAATGTAAATCAAGTGGTGTAGACAGCTCTTTTTGTGCCACATCCTCTTCAGTACTGGATTGTAAACCATAATATTATTTTTAAAAACATTTGTGTATGTGTGTGTGTGTGGTTATAAAATTGGCAAGTTTAAAGAGAATTTATATAATCTTTAAAAGTATACTTTGTGCCCCAAATTGGCCTGGACCGTACTATTGATCATTTTATCTAACCTCAAATGTGCTCATTTTTTGTGTGTATGGATCATTACATAAAACACAAAATAAAAGCTTATTATTTGGTTAATGTTTCTAATCACAGCATTTCTCTTTGGAACTAGTCAATTATTTGCAGTGGTGGAGCAGCGGTGGAGAACAGCTTAAACATTTTGTTTGGAGCGCTATGGGGAAGGGCTGTATGTTGTGCCGGGGAAACCCTTGGAAACGGTGGGTAAGAACAACAGATGAATGCAGTTGCTGGGCCGTGGGCAATGTCTGGCAAGAAATGCATATCTGGGAATTCATTGATATTCATGTGGTGTGAGACTAAGAGAAAGACAGTGGGGAGAAGGAGTGAATGAATGGTTGGAGAGGAGTAAGCAAGAGAGAGGACTGACAGAAAAGAAAGAAGCTTGTGAGGAGGGAACAGGGTAATAGGATGTTACGTGTTAATGAATAAATAGCAATAAAGGTGTCTGACAATGAACGATCAGTTTAGTGGGGCTCGACCCTGATTGGGTGACAGTTGAGGGAACTGGGAAAAACTGTTGAGTGCATGAGAACGTGTCCACCCAGACTCATGCAAACTTCCATGGGAGGGAGATAGCCCCATTCAGGCACACAACTGCCTCTTGCCCAGCCCTCCGAGCAGTTTCCCCCCATCCAGCCCTCTTAAAATGCAGCTCTGCCTTAAAGAATTTTTTTTCCCCGCTTCACAGAGGGGTCTAGCTGCCAGGTAGCTTTTCATATCTGTAGCTGCCTGTAAGAGTACATGAACTGCTCCACTTCTCTAGAAGTTTCCTCACAGGTTTCTGTGGTGTCACTCACTGGCTATCATATTCACCCAATGCCTATCAACAACTGGTAATTTCACTCTGAGCCCACTTAAATAGCTACATGTAACTATTATAACCTTTTAACACAACTGATATGGATATGGCCAAAGAACAAACTCGTCTAATTTGGACAGGTCTAGATCCTGAGGCTGGAAAAGAAGGAAGGCAAGTCATGGTAGTCTTGAGGCTGCTCCAGCTTGTGTCCAAGGATATGTGAGGGATCCAAATCAAAGGGTGAAAAAGCAGAAAGTCTGCACTCTGCTCCCCGCTTCCCTGCACTCGATGTGAGCTGAGGCTGGGACAACCCTAAAGGCCAAGCAGGAATTTTTGTTCCATTTCACAGGTGACTGAGATAACCTAAACATGTTTTGGGCTTGGTTACAGCTTAATTGGGTGCCAGCACTGGTAGGTAGCACCTTAAAACGTGTCAGTCCAGATCAATTTTTCCCTCGTCCCATGTTGTCTGGAGCCAGTGGCAGCCAGTCGCTGGTGTGCTCACCCACCCAGAGCAGCAGCGAGATTCCCTTTGAGAGTGGAGTGGTGGCGGGAGCGCTGGCAGCCCCGGTGTGCAGCCCCGTCACCATGGCAACCCACGGCCTCGCCACTGATGAGCTCTTGCTGTCTATCAAAACCCATTAACTTTTACATTATGTCTTTTTTATTATAGTTTCTGCACATTTGGGCTTTCTTTCCCCCCAGGGCCCGGCTGCACTGGTGAAATGTTCCTTCTCAGGGAGTGGGAAATGACATTTCTATTTCTGTAATGTTTACAACTGTGGGAGAGACACAGCAAAGGGCTGTCTAGAATTACTATTATCACTCTCAGTGAAACTGCTGATGCT